AAACGCACCCAAAGTGTGGGTTACAATTTGTCCAATCCTTAGATGGCACCAAATGTGGGTTACCGCAATTTAAGACTAATTTTTATCTAATCTTGAGTTATGTCTAGCCTTCCCGAACTTGTGCTTAAATTATTATTTTTTATTTATATTAAACTTATGATATTAAATGTATTTATTTATTTAATAATATATGAAAATTATATAAAAAGATAATATAAAAAATTATTTCTGTATCAACATCTTTATTGAATGATAGGTATTGAATAGTTTTAGATTTCATAACACTCCTTTCGTCTAAAAGTAATTGTAATTATTTGACATTTTATTTTTAAATTAAGAATTTAAGGATAATAATTATATTTATTTACAATACATTTAAAAAACTAAAAAGATAAAATAAGACTTTTTTATTAGATAATTAATTAAATTGAACGGTAATGGTATAATTAAAATAGAGAAAAATAATATTTATCTATCTTAAAAAAATATAAAAAATAACAATTAATTCGAGAAAAATTACTGTTATTTTGCAAGAGAACAGTAAATTTTTATGTTATTTTTTACTTCTTTTTTTTTTTACCCTGAAGGATAGAGTAGGCCGTACGGGATGGGGATGGGGATGGGCTCAAACCTGAGGCCGGAGAACTGGGGCAAGTGTTTAGGCCCTGCGTTTGTAGGTGGGTTGGCGTAGGAGGTGGCTTTTGGCCCCGTCCTATGGGGCATTTTTTAATGTACCTGCCCTTTGGTCCTTCTCAGAGATCAGACTTCAGAAACGAGCCAACCTAACCCATTGTCCTCGCTTGGTTCCCGTCAAAATATGCCAAACGCCAAACCCCAACCAACTTTCTCTCCTTTCCCTTGCAATCTTTTATATAAGCACTATGCGAGTGGAAAAGTGTACATCACCACTTTCCGTTAGGTTTTACTTAGATCCCCTCGTACTCTCCGCTTGCCATTCTCAGCCTCTCTCGAAGCCGGAAGCCCCACCTCCCGGTCGAACCTCACCATTTTCTCGGTAAACCTCTCTTCTCTGCTACTCTTTCTGCATGTTTATGCCTATGTGGGATGTCCCCTTAGAGTTGAATCTATGTTGTCTGTGAGATTTTTGTGTTCATCATTTTTTTTAAGGTAGATTGCCTCTTATTGATATATGGGTTGTTGGGTTTTTATATGTTTTTGACCATCTTGGAGTTAGATTTCTTGGTTAAATCGTGCGTTTTATGAAATTTGGAGGTGGGGATTTTCTGCTGTTTGGAAAAAGAAGGTAGCTTTAGCATGTCTCTTTTAGATATTTCGTTTTTTTCTTTTCTTTTTCTATGTTTGAATCTTCAATCTTTCCTCTCTCTTTTTTTTTTTTTTTTTTTTTGGGGGGGGTGGAATACGATGTAATTATTTTGTGCTATTGTATTGATTGTCTTTCCTTTCTTGCGAAAAGCGTAAAGTTCAGTGTGTGATTCAGAAATGTATTGTTGGAACATAACAAAAAGTTAGCTTTCATATTGTTCTGTGTTGTCTGTTTGTGTTGCTTTGCCTAGTTTAGGTGGACTCTGGACAAGAGAGAGAAAAGGAAAAGATAATTCACCAAGTGGTTTTCTTTTTATCTAGAAAATGTGCTTAGAATTGAGAAAAGGTGATTCTTTTGTTGTGATTTTATGTTATTAATCACTCAGCGATTAGCATTTAACAAGATCTCTGTTAAAGGGCTTGTATAGCTCTAGGTGCCTATGACAGTGATATAATTACTTGTTCTTCAAGGTTTTGCTTCTGCGTGGTTAAGATTTGTAATTTGGATTTCCTGTGTGTGCTTGTAAAGTGGAGACTCGAGTGAAGAGCAGAGAGCTCTAAGCTTGCCTCTTCTCATAGTGCTCCAGACATCAATTGCCTTTTGCTAATAATAATTAAAAGGATGGTTTGGTTCCTTTTACTTGTGAAATAAAAGGCAGACAACTTGACATTTTAAGGACGATCTTTTGAGGGTGTTAGTGTGAGAGATGGTGAGTCAGAGAGACTGACTAATTTGCTTTCTCATAAGATGTTGTATGATGGTTGTTCCCTCATCCTTTTGAGACACATGAAGCATCCTTTAATCTTTTCCTATGTAGGATCATGAACAGGGCAATTCACAATAATCAGAGCCTAGCATTTTGAAATGAATGAACTTTATTTTTGGTGTACAAATTCACTGAAATTGAAACACCAAATCTCTCCTTTCAAACGCATGCTTTAGTTATATATATATATATAAAATTCATCCATCTATGGTTATAGATTTATTAGTTCAGCCACACATCTTTTGTGCTAGAAAAATCACTGAGAAGTAACTATCTGATAATTGCCTTTTGATTCAAGGGTTAAAGATGGCAACTGTGACTCTTACCTCCCCTTGCGTTGTCAAATCTGCAACTCGAAGCCAGTTTACAAGCGCCATTTTCAAGAGGCCCACATCTCTGGGATCTCTTAAGAGTATGTCCAAGTCTTCCGGCTTGAAATGTTCCTCCAATTTCAGAGCATCAATGTCAGTGTACAAGGTTAAGCTGGTTGGACCAAATGGTGAAGAGTATGAGTTTGAGGCCCCTGATGACAAATACATCCTGGACGCAGCTGAGGAAGCAGGAGTTGAGCTGCCTTATTCTTGCAGGGCAGGAGCATGCTCTACTTGTGCTGGGAAAATGGCTTCAGGTTCAGTGGACCAGTCCGACGGTTCCTTCCTCGATGATAACCAAATGAAGGAGGGTTATCTTCTGACCTGTGTTTCATACCCAACTTCAGACTGTGTGATTCACACTCACAAGGAAGGTGATCTTTACTGAGTCTTTCAGTGGTCAGAATTAAGTTAGGTGCTCCAGTTATTTGTCAAGGTTTTTTGCCAGCATAATATGAAACTTGTGGACTGTAGGTCAAGTGCTCTCCTGGACCTCTTGTTTTCTAGTGTTATTATCATGTTCTTTGGAGAATGATTTCTCAGACTCGGATTTTAAAGATGGTTCTGGAATGGTGCTTTCATGTATTGCATCTTTCATCTTAAATACGTGAAACATGGTTCTGCAAAAGTGTGACGTAATAGCATAAAAGATAATTTAAGCCTCCTCTTTCCTTTTAAGCTTCGTTTAACAACCGTTGTATATAGTATTTTTCGTACCGTGCTTTCGTAATTTAAGATAAATTATTCATCTTTATTTTTTTAAAAAAAATATGTCATTTTTATTTAAAATCAATGGAATTTTTAAATAATTTGATAGATTTTTCAAATTTTTTGTATATTATATATTAAATTATTAATTAATTTAATTTTAAATAATAATGTATGTAATTAAGTAATTTTATAATAAGTAATTTTTTTGAAATATATAATTATCAAATATTACAAGTTGTTTGTGGTAATATAATATAACACTTTTGATAGTTACACTTATAGGGTAACATAAGACGGTATTGTCAAATAATCAGTGGTGTATCTTTTTATGAAAAATGATTTATTTAACTTGTGTTTTTACTGTATAAATTAAAGATATAATAAATATTTTAAAAAAAAGTTAATTTATATAAAATTAATATTTATTTTAATACTATTGATACATAAATAAATTTAATTATTTATTTATTATTTATATATAAATTAATTATAAAAATATATTAACTACATCTTTAATATATATTTGAAGGACATATTAAAAAGTCTATAAAAAAAAAAACAATAATTGCCGGGCAACCCTTTTTATTTTTTCAAAAATTTGAAATGTGGAAAATAAAGCACTGATCTATCTTAGTGCTTTCTTGTCGTTGTACAAGCCCTCTATAAACATGGCAATGGGGTTTCGCGAGGTCGCAGACCCCATTCCCATTTCCGTCCTCATCCCTGCAATTCACAAGGACGAGGATCCTCGCAAAATTTTTTGATCATGGGTACTTTTACCTCCCGTCCCCGTTCCCTATGGGGAATGGGGATCCCCATTTCCCGTCAAATATCAAATTCTAATATATCTTTTATAGAGCAGATGGCTTTCGGTAGCAACAGAGCAGAAGGGTTCGTGAGCAATAGTCAACTAAGTGAGCAGCAATAGAGTAGAAAGGTTCGTGAACAGCAGAAGGACTCGTGAACAGCAGCAGAGTAGAGCAGATTCGTGAGCAATAGCAGAGCAAAGTAGATTTGTGAGCAACAGACCAGAGGCAGAAACTAAGATCTGAGAAGGTGAGAGTGAGAGTGATTAGAATGGAGAAATGAATTAGAGTTAGGATTAAATTTAGGAGAATGATAGCTGGGTTCGATTTGGTTAATTTGGATTGGGTTGGGTTTAATTAAGTTGGATTGGGTTGGATTGAATAATATTGCATAAGTTTAATTTTAATTGGTTTGAATTTGAGTTTAAATTTGAAAAGTAAATTAAATTTAAAATTTTTTTTTTTTTTTTTGTGGAAATGAGGATCTCCGCAGGGTCCATGAAAGGAGTAAAGTTTTTCGTGATGTCCTCTATCCTCGCTCCACAAATAGAAATATTCCTTATTGTTTCGTTCCGTGAGAGAAGTCTGCATGGCGCCACACAAGGACAAGGGGAAATTGCCGCCCCTAGACCGCTGTCAAAAGACAACATGGGACGGCATTATATATTCTTTTATTATACAGACAATGAATCGAATAAGATGAATATTTGTTAAAACATGCCGACATTTGTTGACAATAATCATTTTTGTTTTTTCTTTTTTGAACTGAGGCTAAAGTTGATAATAATCGTTTGACTTTAAATGAATAAATAGATATTATATTGATCTAAGCTTTTAAAATGATCACGTAATGTATCACGACTAGTAACCTAGTAAAGTGCTATGTCTTTCTCACTAAAACTAGAAAATCGATTAAAAAGAACTTATTTAAGAAAATAATTTTAAATAAATAGTATCAATAAAATGATGTTTAACAAAGTTAAAAAAATAATTTATTTTAAAAGTATTATTCTCTCTATTTATTTTTAATAAATTTAATTTAACTTTTTTATTTTTAACATATAAATTTTAAATAAAAATTTAATAATCTATGTAAATAATAATTAAATTTTTTTTATTAAATAAAAATGTTTAACAAAAATTATATATAAAGAAAAAAAATTAATTATTATTTATATAGATCATTTAATTTTCATCTAAATTTTATAATTTAAAAGTCAAAAAGCTAAATTAAATTTATTAAAAATAAAGAAAAAGAGTATTTATCTTTTACATATTTAAAATTTTGTTAAAAAAATTTTAAAATTATTTGTTTTAAACAAGTTTTAGTTAAAAAGTTTGAATATATAATTTTTTTAAAACTTAATTAAAAA